AGAAGCTGTAACAACTCCGGCGGTTTTGGGCTGATGGACACAAGCGAATTCTCCGGGTTTACTTCTTCAAACCAAAACAGAAACAATGGCGGTGATAACTTGAATGATGGGATGATGAACGGCGACGGACTGATGATGATGATGATGATGGCGGGAGTGAAGCAAAACTCCGGTGAGGGAAATATGACCAGAGATTTTCTTGGTATGGAACAAGAGCTAATCAACTTCAGTTGTTCGATGAACGATCCAAGCATAGGATTCAGTGGAAGTCAATGAGAGTTAATGGTTTGGTCATGAATCATGATAAAGTCATAAAGTACGTTCTGATCACCATGTTAAAAAACTTCAGTGAAAGCTAGACTCTATATGTATTTTGGAATATGATAAAAGCGAGAGACACAGGCAAAATCCTATGAATTGTTAGGGTGAAGGGAACATGACAAAATCTATCTTGGTTATGTCATGTCTGATCTGATACGATCGTTTTTTCATGTACGCTTTCATGACAATCCATTTCTTCAGAAGAAAGGTGGCAATAATGTGGTAGCTGCAAGGCTTTATCATGGTAACTTATGTAACATCGGCCTCAATTTTATTTGCAATAACTTTTTTAATCATGAAAATTCATTCATTTTTAACACAATTCTAAATTCCACTTACATATTCCCCCTTTTTTTCCATCAAAACTCAAAAAATATCAGAGTACATTTTCCGTAAATTAATTAACCCCTCCTAATCTGGGTTTTGCATGTAATTAAACCTTTACCATATCACCCAACCATCAATCAATTTTCTCATATACCTAGAGCTATCAAGGGCATACACGTAAATATTTGACTATGTTTGGTTGGAATATTATGCGTATACACAAATATTGTGATATAATATATAGTGAATTGAAATAAAATAACGATAAGAGATATATGACAATATCATAGAATATTAGGTTGGAATATTATTTGTATACATAGAATATATAGGAATTAATTGAAATAATGTCGTCTTGTATTCTTGTTATTATTTAAAAGAGAAAAAAAAAAGACAAATAGGAATCGTAAATAGTCAATATAAGAGGCTAATATATGTTTTTAAAATAAGACCCCATAGATTATTAAAATATAATGAGTGACAAAACATAGGGAATAACATGAAATGCCGCGATTTTAAACATGTCTGGTGTTTAATATAAAAGTAATAGCAAAATCGTTGTTTTATAGATAGGATTTTTGGTAGATATTATATTTATTGGAAAGACAACACGTTATAAATTACTATCTCAAACAGTTGAAAAGGTTTATCATTATAAATTTAATAGTATTTAATTATAATATCTAAGCTTGTGTTTGGTTCTCGTTTTTTTTTTTCTAGTAGATTATAGACAAAATTGCAAAAATATTAACGAACAATGATTTAGATCAAACAATGTTTCATTGTGAATGCACAATTTGATTTTGGATCTTCACATTACCATCACCTACCTACTAATGAACCACTAGAATCATCGTCAGTTATCACTTCTTCTCCGATAAGCTGCATGGGTATTTCAAGGTCGCAGATTTTGGGCTGGATTCCGATTTCGATAGAAAAAAATAAGATTGAAGATACCAAGAACTCATCTCGATAGCCATGAACCAGAGAAACAACAATCACATTAACGGTGAGTTTTGTTGAATATCCATAATTTTGAAGCAAAACAAATCAAATTAAAGAGTATGTTTGTAGACTAATTATCTTCTTTCCAACTAGATATGGTGGATGACGAAGGCGTCGGTTTCTCCTTCGAACACCCACTACAAGCAAAAAGGGAGTTAGCGGCAACAAAAGTCGCTTCTAAAGAGTAGAAAAGTCGACGGTAAAGGTAATAGCGGCGATACGTCGCCGGTAAAAAGTCGCCGCTACTGCTATGTCGCTATTGATCAAAATGTCACCGGTAAAGACAATTGTCGCCACTAATGCTACTGTCGTCGGTAATACCCCGTGTCACCGCTAATGTCCCCGTCGCCGGTAATAACATTTTTTTAAAATTTTTTTTAATCAACAATTTTGGTGCAAAAAAACAGATACATAACGATATTAAATGCAAATTTTTTTTTTTTTACAAAATTCCAGATTAGGTACGAAATAGTGTAACGACAATATATGTAATTAATTTCATATCAATATAAACAACCACAGTTTTATAATTACAACATGCTAGTACCAAAGTATCACGACAAGTCTAACATACAAAACACAAACTAATTATCCGACGAACCATCACCTCCGTTCCCGTCGTTTCTTCATTGATCTTTCCCCGATTGAAAAAACGCATAAAGCATATCCCTACACGCTGGGTCGTTGAGCACTGTGCGAAGATTTTCCAACTACATAATAAATAACAACATATATAAACTTATAAGTTCAATTATCAAACATAAACAAAAAAACTACCAAAGTACATTGCTATTTTTAAACTAGGGACAAAAAACCAAAGTACATTCCTATTTCTTGCACTTAAAACATAAACAGAATTACAAACAGAATTACCAAATCAACATGCATTTATTAATGCCAAAGTACATTGCTATTTTTAAACTATGGACAAAAAAACCAAAGTACATTGCTCTTTTTTGCACTTAAAACATAAACACAATTACAAACATAATTACCAAATTAACATGCATTTATTAATCATTATATAGATATATGAGACATTGAAATTAAATAATCTACTCTTTTGTGCTAAAGAATCTTAAATACAAGAAATACCAAAGTACATTGCTATTTCTTGCACTTGGGCAAAAACACAATTACCAAATCAACATGCATTTATTGATGCCAAAGTACATTGGTATTTTTAAACTAAGACAAAAAACCAATGTAAACTGCTATTTCTTGCACTTGGGACAAAAAACCAAGTACCAAAGCTTTTAGCAAATAATCACCACAAACCAAGATTACCAAATCAACATGCAATTATTGAAATTAAATAATCTTGTTTTACCTGTGATGGTTGTAAGGGTTGTGGTGGTGGCTGAGATGGTTGTGCAATCGGCGGGATAGCAGAAGGTTTTCGGCCGATGCCTTTGATATGGCCACGTCGTTCACCTAATACTATATAAAAAGTAGCTCTTCCTTGAGTAGGTGTTAACTCTCTTTCACCTTCTGGCCCTTGCGTTTGTTCTAAGAGCTCTTCCACTAACGAATTCTGTGTTATCCAAAAGTGATTAACAATTAAGTATAAATAAACACTTAATTATATGATAAAATAATAATTAAATACTTGCGTATTGTGGTTCTGCCTCAATACTAACAAATACACTATTCCTATCGACACGAGCCTTGCGAAACGTTTACACTCTCTTCAGGTTCTGTTTAACATTAAAAATCAAATTATATAAAAAAAATAATTACAAATATCGTACGTTACCTTCTTATAGCAAGTATTGTTATACGAGCTCGACCGCCCGCGGTTCACAATCGTTTACATTTCACAGACTTTTTTGTTCATTTCTGAAGCAGCTATGTGTTCAGTCATTTGAAAATACTCAACTGTTTTCCTCCAATTATCAACATTCATATCATGTGGGGGGTTGGTTAATGCTCTCGGGATATCTCCTACTTGCAAAAAATATTCTTTTGCATCAGCTTTACGCTCTAGATAACCTTTTAACAAAGCCTCTTCAAAACTCTCTAACAACATACCAATGTCTGGATCCCGGGACAACCCATCCAAATCAAACTTTGTCTACAAAAAAAAAAGTTAACCATGTAAAAATCAATCATAATTAACCATATAAAATATTCTTATATAAATAATTTACCCCTAAATGTTATTTTACTGTATCCTTTATCGTGGAGGAAACTTTTTTCCAAGTCCATTTATCAAAAGGGACCATCCGCCATATTATTTTCCCAACTTCGTGTGCAAACATGTCCTTCGGCTCTCCTACGGGATCATATGTCATATCCCTATCATACTCTATGTCAATTGGTTTGCCCTTATTGTGTAAGAGCGCTCTTTCGAGCTCAAGGTTTTTCGCTTTTCTTTGGACTCTCATGTGTGGCACAACTACAAATATAATAAAAAATTATTAGAAACGATATTTTATAATCACTGAACAAAAATAGTAAAGAAAAATTCATAATAAGACTTACCATCCTGCTCATGATGACCAACACCTCTACCGTCTGGGAAAGGTGGGTCCTCAGCTCCATCACCCCCATGTCCACGACCCATAACAACAACTATGGTATACAAAAACAAGAGCCATATTGACACCATTTCCTGGAAAATTATAAGATATACAGATACAATTTCTATTACAAATACACATAAACTAGGAATCCAAATAAAGTTTCAATTATACATTATACTTTACATGACGAAATGAATTATAAAATCCTACTTTTTATTTTTTAATTATATCATTAAATGACATTACAATTTATAGCATCCTACTTTTTTTTTTTAATTATAGCATTGTAGTTTTGCGGCTTGCCTAATTAAGTCATTAAAAATTAAGACATCCTACATACATACATTCTTATTTCACACAAATACACATACATCCATCATACCTACACACATATATACAATATATACAAAGACACATATGCATACATTATACACACATAAATTTTTTATTGCATAGAAATACACATATACACAATATACATACATCCATCATACATATACACATATATACAATACATACGAATACACATATGCATACACTTATACACACATACATGATTGCATACCAAATACACATAAACATAAACAAAATGCACTAATAAACATATAAATTGTTGGATTTAACAAATTTGCATACCAAATACCAAATACCATATGTTTGCATACCATCAAATTTATGCAATAATCGTTAGATTTCTTATCATAACCTTGAATATGACCAAAATAACTCTATAATTATTTTAGCTCATAAGAGTTTGCATACCATCTATTTTAGCTCAAGTACCATCTCTTTGCATACCAAATACCATATATTTGCATGCCAATGAGAATCACTAACCTGAAATCAAAATCAGAAGCACTTGTGGTGGTGTTTTCACCGGCAAAATCTGTAATGGCGGTGGCCTCGCCGGAGCAGCAACAACAATGGATGTTTGTAGATTTCTTGATCACAAAAAAATATCTTAGAGTGGACACACTTCAAAGGCGAAAAACCGACAGGAGGGACGAGAAATTACTTAACATCGGCAATTTTGTGGTCGAAGGGTCACCGAAAACACACCTAATCGCCGATAAACGCCCCAAAATGCCTGTATAAAAACCCCAGTGGTGTTCCTGTCAGTCAGAGGTGGTAATCGGCTGGTGAACGGCCTTAAGCTTTCCAAAGGGTCGGAGTGGAGCCGTAATCGTCGGAGAAGAGAAGTGGGAGTGATAGTGAGAAAGTAGAACGTCGATAGGGGGATGAAATCGACTTAAGCTATTATCGGCGATGGTAATAGCGGCGACACTAAATGGTAAATGGAGGGAAGTTTTCGCGGTCAACATTTTTAGGGTATTAGCGGCGACGGGGTCGCCGCTATTTCTGTCGCCGGTAATAATCTTGTCTGATGCACATCATTTAACAGTTGGATTGAAATTCAGATCAACGGTTGTGGTGAAGCTTGGACATTTGACACGGATCGATGTTTTTTTATCAATGCTGACGACGGTATTAGCAGCGAAAAAGGCATTACCAACGACATATTTGGAATGTTGCAGGTAATGCCTTTGTCGCCGCTAATATCGTCGTTGGTATTCAGCGCATTTCTTGTAGTGCCCGGTACCCCTTCTATCATCAACTGGTTGATAAACCTATTTTCTCTTAAGCAAATTATACTACTACCATATAATGAGAAAATAGAGGAAAAAGAGGATATATATATATATATATATATATATATATATAGAGAGAGAGAGAGAGAGAGAGAGAGAGGATAGAGAGAGATAACTGGAGGTCTTGGAAGAGGGTGGATGTGGGAGTGGGGTGACGAAGAAGAGAAAAAAAAAAGAGCATGAGTCTTGTCTCATGAGTTTTTCTCTATCCCATAAGATTAATAAGACCATTCGACATGATTTTCACACAAGAGTTTGTGGTCGACGTGGCCACGAACCACGGTCGTCCACACTATATCGCTCGTCCATGGGGGGTCGTTGTCGTCAAGGAATTGGTGGGCGGGAGGGAGGGGGGATAGAATAGCACAACCAATTGGATGTGAGGATCGTTTGCCAATGGTCAAAATGTTTTATTAAAATAAAATTTACCTATATAACACAACATCTTAACACCATATTTTCAAACCATTCATCTCTTTATACTCTGTAACATCCAGTTTCGGATGTTCTTGATTCAAGGATAGCGGGCCGTGATTTGATCGAGTAAAGTTCTTGGGCTTCAAGGAATATATTTTAGACCTTATTGGATCTTGATAATGTTGGTTAAGTGGTTTAATCCATTGAGTTATGCGTTGGAGCCAAATGGGTAAAATGGGAAAAATAATATTTTGTACTTTTGTGTGTATTAATAAATTTATTTATTTATGCTTTAAGCCAAAAGTAAATTGATAGAATTGTGGGGTTTTTCAATAACTTCACATGCATCTAAAGATCATTGTAAACAGAGTTAAAACGAAGAAGTTATCATCGTTTCGAGCTGAAGCTAAAAACTGGAAAATCAGAAATTTATCGGAAATTGCAGGGTGGCCCTGACCCAGTGGGATGTATGTTTTTTAGGGGTTTTAGGGATATTTAAAGGCCATTAACTCTAATGGTTCGTCATTTTCAGCCTCCACCTCCCCTACAACACCTTTAATAAAACCCTAGCATCCATTGATGTGTTTGGAACTTATCCTATCTCCTAAATCCATTTTGGTAATCTATTAATGTCAATTTGGTGCTTTATTTTGGTGGTATTATGCTCTACAAGGAAGAAGAACAATAAATATTGGTATTTAAAGCTATGCATTTGTAACGCCCCGATTCCCAAGTATCGTTTAAATAAGAATTTAATTCGTTTCAGGGCTTACTCGACGAGTCGGTTGCCCTACTCGTCGAGTAGCAGCGGGTTTGATACGCGTGTTTAGTGACCTACTCGCCGAGTCCATGAAGGGACTCGACGAGTAGGAGCTGGCAGATGAAACCCTAAATCCCGGGGTTTTGCATCCTATTTAAAGGAGCCTCAGCCTCCTTTGGCCTCTTTACAGTCTTTGAGAGCTCAGTGAAACCCTAATTCTTGTGGTACT